TTGTTCGATTGAACATATCAATACTAATAACAACAACTGTACTTATAGAAATAAACATTCCAGCAAGCTTATCCTACGATTATGTAATCAGTATCTTTCTGAGTAATGCAGCAATTAAACTACCAACTGTTGTTAGTACACCAAACTAAAGCTTATCTAGAAGCTACTTATTAATCTATTTTGTTTAACTAAGAATGATCTTGATCAGCAACTGCTCCAACGACCTAAAAGAAGCATAGAAACTACAGGAAGAGGTCCTGCTATGAATCAAATTCCGAGCAACAACTAGTGAGACTAAATGAACAAGGGAAAGACATACAGACTTGAAAGTTAGAAGCTCGGAAACGCCGGCGCACATTCTTGTCATCCAGAATCTGAATCTCGAACGAGAAATACTTCTTCATATTCTTCACTACCAAGACCAAAAAGGGGAGTTTGATACCGAGAGTCGCCGAAAGATCAGCTGGACATGTAATGTATGTAGACTGGATGTTTGTTCCAATTACTTCAAGCACATTGGATTGAATTTCATCATCATGGCAACGCTTCACATGACCATCCACCACTATGAATCAAAAACAAACAAACAAAATTAGGTACACCCTAAAATTTCATCAACTTGTAGAGAAAGTCCAGCTCAGGTAGGTTAAAGCCATCAATAAATTTGTTACTCGAAGTTTAAGGCTTTTAATTCATACAACTGACAAAATCACACTACCTAATATTCAATTACATAAACCAAAGAAAGCCTATCTTATATAACCAATCGCTCACCTTCTTTGTCCCATATCTGAAGAGGCTTACTTCTGCAAAAGAAACAGCGAAACAGTCAATGGTTAAGAGAATATCGAATGATTCCAATATATGAAAACAAAGAAAAAGTAACGAATTTATACCCTAAACTGTACAAAATAGACAGAAAGCCAGACTGAAACGCGTTCTTGAACATCTCTTCCTGTTTCTCCGAATCCGAGAAGAGAAGCTCGAAGAAATAAAATCTCAATGTCATCTGAATAAAAAAAAAAAAAAATTCGCAATGAAAAGATGATACCACCAAATTCCTCGGTTGGGGCTTGAGCCTTGGCCCACTAAGCAACCCATGAAGAATGACATTTTTAAGTATAAGCCCATTCACTTGGATAAGTCATAAAACCAACGTGCCATTCTACCGCTTATAACATGCCATGTGTCATGTTCTCCACAAAGAATTCGCCACGTGGGCAGTAAATATCAGCCAAGGAAGGCACGTCTCAGTGCGTAAAATGACTAATATGTCCTCTAACAACCGCGTTATCTTCCCACTGAATCCGAAGGTCATTTTCGGAATGACAAGAGAGTAGGGTCTAAAATTCTGCAACTTGCAGGGTTTTTAAACATCTCCAAGAGCGACTTTGGAGACAAGAAAAGATATGATACTACACGTGGACCAATACGACTTAAGCTTTAGATGGAGGAAACATCTGAGCCACAAATCTCATCTATGAATTCTGAGCCACGAAAAATTAAAAAAAAAACAAGATCTACTCCACGCGCTTGTTTTTTGTTCTCTTACTTGTGCAGATTGCTGCTCTCTCTCTTACCTCCTCGGAAGTTGAAACAATATTACAAAAACTCAATCCTCTTCTTCTCTCTCTCTCTTTGGTCTTTTTTATTTGCTTCAAGGTGAAGAAACTCCAATCAAAAGGCTTTTCCTTCTTCTTTCTTAATCTGAGTGTGTTCTGTCTCTGTTTCTGTGTCTGCGCAAAAGATCTCTCATCGTTTCACTGCAAAAGTGAGTTT